CGAGCCATCTTGGGCCGTTTTGATGGCCTCCTGGCCCCTTTTGGTGCCTTCGGAGGCCGTTTTGGTGGCCTCTCCGGACCAATTTGGGGCCTTCGCGGGGTGTTCCAGGGCGGTCTTGGAGGCCATGTTGGGCGTGTTCGAGGCCTCTTGGGCCGTCTCGGGGTCCTATTGGGGCAGTCTTGGGGGCCTCTTGAACCTTTATGGGGTCATCTTGGAGACCTCTCGGGCGATCTCGGGGCGATCTTCGGGGGCTCTCGGGCCGTCTCGGGCCGTTGGGGGGCCGAGAAAAAAAACAAATGCCGAAATCTGTCAAACACCAAAGGAATATCGATGCTTGTGGCCTCTTCGGGCCGTCGCCCTCTCGGGGGTTTCTTGGGCCGTCTTGGCGACCTCTGGGGAGCCTCCTGGGCCGCCTTGGCCCATCTTCGAGCCGTCTTGGGTCGTCTTGATGGCCCCCTGGCCCGCCTGCAGCCTTCGGACGCCGTCTTGAGGGCCTCTCTGGGCCAACTTGGGGCCCTATTGAGGTGTTCCAGGGCCGTCTTTGATGCCATCTTGGGCGTCTTCGAGGCCTCTCGGGCCGTCTCGGGGCCCTCATGGGGCAGTTTTGGGGGCCTCCTGGGCCGCTATCCTTCAAACGCCAAAGGAACATCAATTCTTGTGGTCTCTTCGGGCCTTCGCCCTCTTGGGGGTTTCTTGGGCCGTCTTGGAGACCTCTTGGGGGCCCTTTGGGCCGTCTCGGCCCATCTTCGAGCCGTCTTGGGCCGTCCTGATGGCCTCTTGGCCCGTCTGACGCCCGTCGGAAGCCGTCTTGAGGGGCTCTCGGGGCCAACTTGGGGCCCTCTTGGGGTGCTCCAGGGCCGTCTTTGGTGCCATCTTGGGCGTCTTGGGGGCCTCTTGGGCCGTCTTGGGGCCCTCTTGGCGGCCTCTTTGGCCGTTCTGGGGCCATCTTGGAGGCCTCTTGGGCGGTCTCGGGGCGATCTTTGGGGGCTCTTGGGCCGTCTCGGGCCGTCGGAAGGCCGAACAGGAGCATGCCAAAATCCTTCAAACACCAATCGGGAATCAGTGCTTGTGGCCTCTTCGGGCCTTCCTGGAGGCCCTCTTGGAGGCCTCTTGGGCCATCGTGGGACCTCTTGGGGGCCTCGTGGGCCGTCTTTGGCCGCTTTCGGGCCATATTTGGCCGTCCCGGGGGCTTTTTCGGCGGAGTTGGAGGTTTCTTGGGCCCTCTTGGGCCGTCTTGGCCGCCCTCTTCTTCCCCTTTACCTCTGTGTGCCTCGGCGCGGCCCGCTGGCTACCCGAACGCGTCGTGCGCTTGCCTTCGCCGCCGGCCGAAGAAAGGTTTTTCCCCTCCCGCGCCTGCGCTTCTGTCCGCGATCCTTGGCGTGCCGCGCTCGCTGGGCTGGGCATCCTGCGTTTGGAGGCCCTGTTGGAGGCCTCTTGGGCCGTCTTGGGGCGGTCTTGAATGCCTCTTGGCCGTCTTGGGGCGTAAGGCGAGAACCGGAACATGTTTCAAGCACCTGAAGAAAATCAGTGAATTTTGCCTCTTGGGGCCCTCTTGGGAGGTCTCTTGGAGGCCTCTTGGGCGGTCTTGGGAGCATATTCGGCCGTCTGGCGGCCATCTTGGGCGTCTTCGACCGATCGTTCGACGACTCGAAACCCTCTTCGGCCGTCTGCAGGGCCTCTTGCGGTCCTCTTGGCCCGTCCTGGGGTTCTCCTGGCGTCCCAGAAGCTCTGTATTATCCCATGGGGAGCCGCGCAGACTGGCGTGTGGGTGGTAGATATGATGTCATTTTGAGAAAGAAGAGTGTAGGGTTGTGCAGGATGTTGTGTGCAGTCTATCTGGTGCAAAATTATGTGGCGGTGACGAGGCAGCGACGGGGCGGCGACGGCGCCAGCATAACCGCCAGACCGCCACACGGGCCTAGTTCCTCAGAAAAGAAGTCAGAACATTTAAGTGGAATCACTGTTTGGGGAACAAGAGAAGTAGGAGGAGGATGACGCTGCTGAGAACTCCATAGCGGGTGGAGTAGGAGTAGGATGTTGATGATGAGGAGGAGGAAGAGGATGATTATGATGATGATGATGATGATGCTGATGATGCTGATGTTGATGCTGATGCTGATGCTGATGCTGATGATGATGATGATGATGATGATGATGATGATGATGATGATGATGATGATGATGATGATGATGATGGTGGTGGTGGTGGTGGTGGTGGTGATGTTGATGATGATGATGATGATGGTGGTGGATGATGATGATGATGATGATGATGATGATGATGATGAGGAGGAGGAGGAGGAGGAGGAGGAGGAGGAGGAGAGAGGAGGAGGAGGAGGATAAGGAGGAGGAGGAGGAGAAGGAGGAAAAGGAGAAGGAGGAGAAGGAGAAGGAGCAAGAGCAGGAGGAAGAGGAGGCGCGGTGGAGGGGGGATGACGAGGGGGTAAGTGCAGGATGGAGAAGGAGGAGGAGCAGGAGGGAGGAGGAGGAGGAGGAGGAGAGGAGGAAGAGAGGAGGAGGATGGACAAGTGCAGAAGAGGAGAAGGAGGGAGGAGGAGGAGGAGGAGGAGGAGGAGGAGGAGGAGGAGAGGAGGGAGGAGGAGGGGTGGAGGAGGAAGAGGAGGAGGCGAAGGAGGAGACTGGAGGAGGAAGAGGAGAGATGAGGAAGGAAGGGATGTATGAGGGAGGACGAAGAGGGGTGAACGAAGAGGAACACCAAGGAAATATGGATGAGGGAGAAGACGCAAGATGAGGAGGAGGAGGAGCAGGAGGAGGGGGAGGAGGAGGGTGGAGGGAGGAAGCAGGACGACGAAGGAGGAGGGAGGGAGGATGGGAGGGAGGGAGGGCCGCTGGACCGCTGAGAGATACTCTCCAGGGTCCAGTGCATCAGGCCCTGGCGGGAGGCCGCGTCGGGCGCCCGCGCGCTGCCGGCCCGCCGCCACGGATGGATACGCTGGACGGAAGGCTTCTCTCCCTGGCTGCCCTGTGGCGATGCAGCCACGACGCCGAAACAAGAACGCCGTTGGGCTCGAGAGGGGTCCTGACTTCCTGGCCGCTCCGCGGGCCCTGCTCGGGGAACCTGTCCGTGGCCGCGGCTCGGCGTGGCCAGGCAGAGCCCCCATCGCTGCTCGCGCGGCGCTCCGGCAGCACGATGGCCGTGCATCCCCCGGCCGAGGCGTCCCCGGCGAGAAGGGCGACGCGGGGCGGCGGAGCCCTTTTTTGATCTGCGGGGCGAGAGCGACCCTCTTCCGCTAAAAGCCAGGCGGGCTACGCACAGCTATGATTAGGGAGACGGGGCACAGGAAGGCGGGGGGCCTCAGGCGGCGGGCGGCGGAACCCGCGGCGTCCCAAAGAACGGAACCGGAGGATTCTCACCTCCGCCGAGGCGAGTTCGTTCCTTCCGCGGCCCCAGCGGCCCCGGGCGCTTCCCCGCACGGGGCAGGCTTCCACCTCGGATCCGTTTCTGAGGGCTCCAGAGGGCCCGAGGTCTGCTCCCGAGGGCCGAGGCCGAGGGAGCAACGCCAGCATGGAGCCAGCTCGCATCGCCAGGATCTGGGGAGGGCACGGTGTCGGAGGCGGTCGGGGCGTTGCGGGGTAGGGGGCTGGGGGGGCGGGCGATCAACGGGGAGGGGGCGAAGACAGGCGCGCCTCTCCTGCACCCGTGGGGCCCCCGGCCCCCTTCCGCCAGAGAAGGGGCCTCCCCCTCCGAAGAAGGGGCCTCCTCCGCCATCGACGAGGGGCCCCCCCCCATCCAAGGAAGGAGGCCTCTGGCCTCCCCCCCCGTGGGAGAAGGCGGCCTCCTCCTCTCCCCCTTGTGGCAGAAGGTGCTCCCTCCTCCGCCATCGAGTGAAGGTGGCCTCCTCCCCAGACCTCCGTGGTCGTGATCTTTTCACAACGTCGACCCCCAGAGGTCTGGACCCCTTCCCCGGGACCAGTTTTTCGTCCTGAGTCGTTCTCTGACGGCCCCGAGGCCCGGGAAGGGCCCCCTGAGGCCGAAACTAGCGAAAAACCTCTCGTCTGGATTTTTACCTAACATCGAAGACTGATAGGTTTCTAATGGGGTCAAAAGAGAGCATCTGATGACTCCCCAGGGGGGTCTGGGCGGGAGCCGAACAGGCGAGTGCCGGGCTCGTTTTAAGCAAACAGTCACACACTTCGTGCTCTTCGACCTCCCAGAACTCCATTCCCGGGCCATATTTTGAATGCCCGGAGCCAACTGTAGGCCACTTCGTGGTCTTCGAGTTCCCAGAACTCCATTCCTGGGCATGATTTTGAATGCCCGGAGCCAACTGTAGACCACTTCGTGGTCTTCGAGTTCCCAGAATTCCATTCCTGGGCATGATTTTGAATGCCCAGAGCCAAGTGTAGGCCACTTCGTGGTCTTCGAGTTCCCAGAACGCCATTCCTGGGCCACATTTTGAATGCTGAGGCAGGCTGATGCTGCGGCCGAGGCAGGCTGAGGCTGAGGCAGGCTGAGGCTGAGGCCGAGGCTGAAGGCAGACTGAGGCTGAGGCTGAAGCAGACTGAGGCTGAGGCTGAGGCAGGCTGAGGCTGAGGCTGAGGCAGGCTGATGCTGAGGCAGGCTGAGGCTGAGGCTGAGGCTGATGCAGGCTGAGGCTGAGGCAGGCTGAGGCTGAGGCCGAGGCTGAAGGCAGACTGAGGCTGAGGCTGAAGCAGGCTGAGGCTGAGGCTGAGGCAGGCTGAGGCTGAGGCAGGCTGAGGCTGAGGCTGAGGCAGGCTGAGGCTGAGGCTGTGACTGCGACTGCCATTGCCACTGCGACTGTCATCGCGAATGCGACTACGACTGCGAGAACAGCAGAATTCTACAACTGGATTCTCATCTGAATCTTAAGGGGAATGCTTCCAGATATACTCCTACACATCGCTGTTAGGTTGCTTTGCCGGGATAATTTTCACAGCGCGAGGGGGTTTGGGTCCCCCATGGAAGAGGGTGGTGGCCTCCGTCAGCGAAGGGGGCCCACCACCGTCCGCGCTGCCAGGTGCGCGCCGGGGACCGCCTCACCGCCGACCAGGAGTGCCGGACGCTCTCGTCGCCGTCATCGTCCTCTGGGGAGCGAGGAGCGAGCGGGGGGAGGAGGGAGGAGCGGCGAGGAGGAGGGAAGAGGAGGAGGAGGAGGAGGAGGAGGAGGAGGAGGAGGAGGACCAGGAGGACCAGGATGATGAGGAGGAGGCGGAAGAGGAGGTGTAGGAGGGGAGAAGGAAGATGGGGAGGAGGAAGGAGGAACGAGTAGCAGGAAGAGCGATGATGATGCTGATGATGATGTTGATGCTGATGCTGATGCTGATGCTGATGCTGATGCTGGTGATGGTGATGGTGATGGTGATGGTGATGGTGATGATGCTGATGATGATGGTGATGATGATGATGTTGTTGTTGATGCTGATGTTGTTGTTGATGCTGATGCTGATGCTGATGCTGGTGATGGTGATGGTGATGGTGATGATGCTGCTGCTGATGATGATGATGATGGTGATGGTGATGGTGATGATGATGATGATGATGATGATGATGATGATGATGATGATGATGATTATGATGATGATGATGACGATGGTGCTGGTGATGGTGATTATAATGGTGATGAGGAGGATGAGGAGGATGTGGAGGATGATGAGACTGATGAGGAGGATGATGCTGAAGCTGATGATGAGGATGATATTGACATGGAGATAGGATTAGGATGATGGTGATGATGATACTGATGGTTATGCAGATGATAATGGTGATGATGATGATGATGATGATGATGATGTTTGAGATGATTATGAGGAACATGATGATTACATTGACGATGATGCTGATGACGATGATGATGGTGATGATGATGCTGGTGGTTATGGTGGTGATAGTCGTGAGGCTGGTGACGCTGTGCTAATGCTGACGATGGTGGTGACGATGATGATGATGATGATGATGATGATGATGATGCTGATGCTGATGCTGATGCTGATGCTGATGCTGATGCTGATGCTGATGCTGATGCTGATGATGATGATGATGATGATGATGATGATGATGATGATGATTATGATGGTGGTGGTGGTGATGATGATGACGATGGTGGTGGTGGTGATGATAATGATGAGGATTAGGAAGAGGAGGGAGGGATAGATGGATGAGAGAAGCGCAAGACGTTCCTCGCTCCTAAATGCACTTCTGGCCACCTCCTCCTTCTCATCCCTCCTCCTTTCTCCTCCCCTCTGCTGCTCCCTTTCCTCTAGTTATTTCCTCATCATCTCCTCCTCCGCCTCCTCCTTCCCCTCCTCATCGTCATCATCATCACCAGTATCATCACCACTACCATCAGCATTAGCCTCCTCATCTTCATCACCAACACCATCATCACATTAGCATAAGCATCATCATTTTCAGCATCAACATCAGCATCAGCATACTCATCACCACCATCATCTTCTCTTCGGCCCCCCCTCCCCACGCACGCAACATGGCCCCGAGACAGACCGCTCGAGTCATTGCTAACATTGTCCAATACCCACGGCCGCTCCAAGAGAGCTCCAGGACGGCCTCCAGGCCCCGTCAGACGGCTGCAAGATGAGTCTGCGTAGATCCTCTCTCGCTCTTTCTCTCCCTGTCCCCCCCCCCTCCCTCCCTTGCTCCCTCCCCCCCTCCCTCGTCACTTCCCTCGCCCTGCAGCTATCTCGCCTCCCCTCTCGCTTGGTCTCACTCCAGAGGAATAGTCCCAGGGGGGGGGAATGCCTCCCACCCCCAATCGCCCAGTGATCGCCGAGAAGGGGCCTGGTGGACCGCCCCGCGCGGGAACGTGCGGACTCGCTGTGGGTGGGGCCTACCATCGGGGCCCTGAAGAAGGAACCCTTTTCGTTGGGGAGGGGCTCCGTGTTCCTTAAGTGTTTCGCAGCTTGCCCTGGATTTTCCTCAGGTTTTCGATACGAAATCGAAGTTCAGCTTGTGGAAAATAGGGGCCTCGTTCCTTATTGCGAAGGCCTGACGGCCGGTGCCGCCGACCCTGTTCGCAATGCGCAGCAAGAGGCACGGGCTGTGGGATGGTTTGGGGGAACGGGGAGAAGGACGAGAAGGTGGGGGAGGGAGGTGTCGTATCTGACCCGGGACTTCCCCGGGACTCCCCCGGGACCCCCCCCGGGACCTCCTCTCCCCCCCCCGTCGGGGAAGGGAAAGGGAAGGGGCTTCCCTTCGACTCAATGACGACGTTGCTCAAGGTCGGTACGGGGGGGGGGCGTCGTATCTGACTCGGGGGGGGGTCGCTACCCCCCCCCGCTACCCCCCCCCCCCTCCCGGCGGGGGAGGAATGAAAGGGAAGGGGCTTCCCTTCGACTCAATTACGAGGTTGCTCAAGGTCGGCTTGGCTGGAGCCCAGGGGAAGAGGAGTCCCAGGGGGGGGCGTCGTATCTGACCCGGGGGGGGGGTCGCTACCCCCCCCCCCTCCCGGCGGGGGAGGGATCAAAGGGAAGGGGCTTCCCTTCGACTCAATTACGAGGTTGCTCAAGGTCGGCTTGGCTGGAGCCCAGGGGAAGAGGAGTCCCAGGGGGGGGCGTCGTATCTGACCCGGGGGGGGGGTCGCTACCCCCCCCCCCTCCCGGCGGGGGAGGGATCAAAGGGAAGGGGCTTCCCTTCGACTCAATTACGAGGTTGCTCAAGGTCGGCTTGGCTGGAGCCCAGGGGAAGAGGAGTCCCAGGGGGGGGCGTCGTATCTGACCCGGGGGGGGGGTCGCTACCCCCCCCCCCCTCCCGGCGGGGGAGGGATCAAAGGGAAGGGGCTTCCCTTCGACTCAATTACGAGGTTGCTCAAGGTCGGCTTGGCTGGAGCCCAGGGGAAGAGGAGTCCCAGGGGGGGGCGTCGTATCTGACCCGGGGGGGGGGGTCGCTACCCCCCCCCCCCTCCCGGCGGGGGAGGGATCAAAGGGAAGGGGCTTCCCTTCGACTCAATTACGAGGTTGCTCAAGGTCGGCTTGGCTGGAGCCCAGGGGAAGAGGTCTCCCAGGGAAAGGGAAGGACAGAGACGACGAGTACAAAGAATGACGGAGATGACGGCTCGAACGGAAAAGCCCCTCACACACGCCGACAGGGTCGGCGGATTTAGGGTTCCTTAGATCAACGCCCCGACCGTATCGCTGATTCCAGCTCGAGGTTTCCCTCCCCAGACATGGTTGCGTCGTGAAAGAATCCAGGACGGGAGGCTTTTCGCTATCCTCGGCCTCGGGGGGCCCTCGCCGGGCCTCGGGACCGTCAGCAGGGCAGCTCAGGACGCAAAAGCGGTCCAGGTCGACGTTCCCCCTCCTGCTGGGGTGTGGCTAGAAGTGCCCCTGGCCTAAGGTGCCCCCAGCTTTTCGCTCCATTTTGGAGCCCCTGGGGCCCCCTGGGCCTCGTGAGGGATGCTCTGGAGGCCGCCTGGGCCCCCCGAGTCAGAGGCGACGATAGGGGCGAATAGCCCAGGGGAGAGCAATCCAGGTATTCCGGTGCGCCGATGGTCTATGTCTTCGAAAAGGCTCCCGGGCGAATGCGTGCAATGGCCGCCCCTGTGCTACTCGCCCCGATCGTCGCCGCCGACCGATAATCCCGGGGGGCACCCTGGGCCAGGGGCGCGCTTCTGGCAGCACCCGAAGCCTGTGCCACTCCTCCCCTGCCCTCGCCTCCCCGCGGCACGCCCCCCGTCGGCGAGGCGCTGAGCCACCCGTGGCTCCGCGGCACCGGCGGGTCGCCCCCCGCCGGCATCCCCTCCTTGCCCGCCGGGCGCGGCGCCGCCGCGAGTCGCGTGCGCCGCCGCTAGACTCAAATCGGGCTTGTCCCTCTACAGGAGGAATGTCGAAAAATAGTCGCAGTACCCTGGCGACGTGCCCAACCCCTGCGCAATGCGGGGCGTGAGTAGCTTGGGAGACGTTATACGGAGGTGATGACGTGACATTGGCGCATATACTTCTGCGAGCGGCATTCGTGAGGCTCGCAGCCCCCCAAGGATTGCGAGGTCCTGCTCAGATCTGCGTGGCGCCTCACTCCGCTGGACCCGCCAGCCTTCGAAAGTAGCAACCGTTTCGCCGATCGCAGCCCCTCAGGGACGGCGAGGTCCCGCTCAGATCTGCGCGGTGCCTCATTCCGCTGGAACCACCAGCAGCCCTCGAAAGTGGCGACGGTTTCGCAGATCGCAGACCCCAAGGGACGGCGAGGTCCCGCCCAGATCTCCGCGGTGTCTCACTCCGCAGGACCCACCAACAGCCTGCAAAAGTGGTGTCAGTTTCGCAGATCGCTATGTTGGCCCCCCAAGCAGCCCTCGAAAGTGGCGACAGTTTCGCAGATCACAGCCCCCCAGGGACGGCGAGGTCCCGCTCACATCTGCGCGGTGCCTCACTCCGCAGGACCCACCAGCAGCACTCGAAAGTGGCGACAGTTTCGCAGATCGCAGCCCCCAAGGGACGGCGAGGTCTCGCTCAGATCTCCGCGGCGTCTCACTCCGCAGGACCCACCAACAGCTTTCGAAAGTGGTGACAGTTTCGCAGATCGCTATGTTGGCCCCCCAAGCAGCCCTTGAAAGTGGCGACATGTCCGCAGAGCGCAGCCCCCTAGGGACAGCGAGGTCTCGCTCAGATCTCCGCGGTGCCTCACTCCGCAGGACCCACCAGCAGCCCTCGAAAGTGGCGGCAGCTTCGCAGATCGCAGCCCCCGAGGGACGGCGAGGTCCCGCTCAGATCTGCGTGGTGCCTCACTCCGCTGGACCCACCAGCAGCCCTCGAAAATGGCGGCAATTTCGCAGATCGCAGCCCCCCAGGGACGGCGAGGTCCCGCTCAGATCTGCGCGGTGCCTCACTCAGCAGGACCCACCAGCAGCACTCGAAAGTGGCGGCAGTTTCGCAGATCGCAGCCCCCGAGGGACGGCGAGGTCCCGCTCAGATCTGCGCGGTGCGTCACTCCGCTGGACCCACCAGCAGCCCTCGAAAGCGGCGACGGTATCGCAGATCGCAGCCCCCCAGGGACGGCGAGGTCCCGCTCAGATCTGCGCGGTGCCCCACTCCGCAGGACCCACCAGCAGCCCTTGAGAGTGGCGACAGTTTCGCAGAGCGCAGCCCCCCCAGAGACGGCAAGGTCCCGCTCGGATTTGCGCGGTGCCTCATTCCGTTGGAACCACCAGCAGCCCTCGAAAGTGGCGACGGTTTCGCAGATCGGAGCTCACCAGTGGCGGAGAGGTCTCGCTCATATCTGCGTGGTGTCTCACTCCGCAGGACCAACCAGCAGCCTTCTAAAGTGGTGTCAGTTTCGCAGATCGCTATGTTGGCCCCCCAAGCAGCACTCGAAAGTGGCGACAGTTTCGCAGATCGCAGCCCCCAGGGACGGCGAGGTCCCGCTCACATCTGCGCGGTGCTTCACTCCGCTTGACCCACCAGCAGCCCTCGAAAGCGGCGACAGTTTCGCAGATCGCACCCCCCACAAGAACGGCGAGGTCCCGCTCAGATCTGCGCGGTGCCTCATTCCGCTGGACCCACCAGCAGCATTCGAAAGTGGCGACGGTTTCGCAAATCGCAGCCCTTTCCCAGGGTCGGCGAGGTCCCGCTCAGATCTGCGCGGTGCCTCACTCCGCTGGACCCACCAGCAGCCTTCGAAAGTGGCGACAATGTCGCAGATCGCAGCCCCCAGGGACGGCGAAGAGAGGGCAGGAGGAGGCGGGAGGCGGGAGGAAGGAAGGAAGGACGCGCGAGCAGTGCCCTATCCAAAACGAATATTCAATCAAGGAGGGTTGGGACACATAGTTTGGTGACGTTTTTTGTCTTGGAGTTATGTTTGAGCATGTTGGAATCATGTTGTTGAATTATTTTCTTTTTATTCGCCCAAAATTCGCCTGTAGGGGGACATGCCAGACCTAACCCGAGTGGCGTTTCTCTAGTTGTTTCTTATTGGGGTAACGAGAAAATATCACGGAGGAGTGCAGTCGAGACGCTGGAATGAGAAGCGCCTTGGGTTCGGAAGGGGTTCCCTGTTCCTTGGGCAACTTCGTGGCTCTAGCTGCAACATGAGCTCGAACGATGCGCGGCACAGCCATTTTACCAGATGCCAGATGGCATCCAGCCCCCGAGCGCGCTACAGGCCATAGGCCATCCATGTGGCTGGAGAGGCTGCGGGTGATGCCACTCAACCCGTTCCACTTGGTAAGCTGGTGAAGAAGCGCCAGCCTACTTCCACCGCAGAGCCCGGGAAGCCAAGGATCTCTGTAGACAGAGGCATTGGTGGAGCCATCGCCATTGCACTCGAGTTCTGAATTGGCGAGGGCACGTCGAACGGCCGCGAAACCGGCGAGCAGCGCGCCTGCTCTGCATTTGTTCGCGTAATTCGTGCGTTTTCGCGCACGCTGCTTGCGGTGTCATCCCGCCTTCTGATTATGATTATGAATATTGCTCCCAGACGTATTGGTATTGCATGCGAACTTGTCAGTATTGGTATTGCAGAGCGCTCGTATCCGAACGTTCGGACATGAACAGTATCGGGCGCAAAGAGCCGCTTGCAGGCTCGCGCTCATGAGTTCACATGCTGGCGTTAGTCTTGTCATTCCTCGACGGTGGCCTCATGATCCGATAAGATGTATCGATACTCTGCTCGTCACCTACAAGGTCGATGGTTGGCAGCTGAAATCTGTTATGCTGGGTCCTTGACGTATGTTCTAATATTTTATTATCCACCGCACCCAGCCGTAACGCACATCTACCTCAGTACCTCACGTGCTGTGCGGAATTGTTGCAGTGGGTTTCTACACGGCTGGCGTCTCTTCTTTGCCGTTCACTCTGGCAGATGCGAGTGACGGCCTTGGTGCCCGGAGGTTTGCTGGTGATTGGATGTCGTATTCGTCCAGGATGCATCGATCGGTTGTGGGTTCTCGGATGGGACGATGGTGATTAGCGCTGGGCACCAGTTCCGGCAGGTTTCGGAGAGGCACGAGTTTGTGTTTGACGACGCGGCCTGTCAGGCCTACGTACTTCGGTAGCACCAGGTAGACCTCCGCGATTGACCGTATCGCCTTGCCCTCATGATTTCTGGTTTTTGCGGAGCACTGCGCGCCTTTTTCTGTCGGGGCGAGGCAGAACATTGTAAGTTATTCCAGCGGCCTGCCCGAGGGATCGCACACACTCCCGTTATTGCGTCTACCACACCTGGCAACAGACCATGAGGGGCTTTATCGCAGTAAGCATCGGGCGCTTGACGGACGACCTGATTGAGCAGCATGTGCAGTGGGATCGTTACCTCTTTCGTCGCTCGCCTCAAAGGTGGTGGAGTTAGGGAGGAGTTTCTGCCCGAGGTGGATTCTAAGATGAGGTTCGTCGAGCCTGATTTCGCGACGAGCAGTCCCGACGCTGCTTTCTCGAAGTTGGACGAGGTGATTCGCGACGGTGCTTTGGTGAGCTTGCTGATCGTCACCCAAATATTGCCGCGGTGTTTGACGAAGATCGGGCCCGGGAGGCACGGGTTCGCATTGCTCCTTCGGCGGCCAGCTCGTCGCAGGTTGACCCTGTAGCGAGGGGTAGTCTATATAGTCAGATGAAACAGCGCCTTGCGGCACTCAATCTGATTTCTCGGAAATGCAAGGCTGTGCGTCGGCAGCAATGCGTTAAGTAAGCATGGGGGTCGATTGGTGGAAGAGGTTTTCGAAGCGTGGCAGGCAAGGATAACGTGAGAAAGTCCATCGGGTTAGTTAGTCTTCGTCTCGCTGGAGGTCGTTTCCAGGATTCCAGTCTGCTGAACGGGGCCTTGCCAGCGTCGAAGGAGGAGTGGCACGGTGTTTGGAGCTCTGCTGGGGGCCAAGACTGTCTGGGGGCGCGCGAGGGAAGCTGGGGGGTTGTGAATCTCGGATATCCAGGACACACGCACACTTGCCAGGCCGCCCCCTCCCGCGTGGATTCGAGGGCCGCTTCAATGCGGAGGCGACTGCTTTCGCAGAGGAGGATGTGGAAGGACTCGCCAAGCACACTATGAAGACACCCAACATGGAGGGGGCCCCAGCCTGGGCTTTGCCAGTAGAGGCATGGGGCGTGTATCTAGGGCCCTCGCCGCCTCGACCTGAGATCAGCGCGGTTGGAATTGGGGCTGCAGAATTGGGTGACGCCTGGGTTTGCTATGATCCGATACAGTGGTGGGGGCCAGAAGCCCTGGAACTGCTCGGCTGGATGTGCCCTTGTCAAATCAGGTATCCCAGGGCCGAACGGCAGGAGAGTAGTCCACGGGTTTGGCCGTCCTGGGAATGGATATTTGCGAATGTTGCGTCGCTGTCGCCGGGGTACAAGCGCTCGGGGGCGGGCCGCGGATGTTGTTGCATGGCGGCGGGGTGGAGATTTAATCAACGCGGTTTCTACCGGGGTGGGCTCGCTGATGGACGCGCACAACGATTTGGCAGTGTTTCAAGAGAGCATCGGATAGTACGCGCCCCCCATCGGAGTGTGTATCCTTTTCTGTCAGCGCCGCCGTGCCGCTCGCAGTCTACTGCTGAATTGGAGCGTGGATTTTCTGCGGGGGACAGGGCGCGGGGCTCGTTTGGCCTGTCAATTTGCCGTTGCATCTTCTGTTCGTGTTTTCTGTCCACCGTCCCATGGTTGACTTCGTCGTCATCGGCAATCTGGATTCGGATATGATTTGCCGCGCGCTCGTTTCGCTCCGCTCGCGGGGGGGGGGGGGGGGGGGGGGCGGCGGCTCGGCGGCGCGCGCTGGCGCCCTAAGACATGCCAATGATAGACTGACGGAATCAGTTTCTTTTTGGTGGGAAGGGGCAATGTCCCGCCCATGACCTTCGTGGCCCCCTTTGCGAAGGTGAATGCAACGAGGGCCAGTTATTTGGATGGGGCCCTGGAGCCGCGGGGCTCAGCCGCGGCGCCATCGGGCGGGGGGGCCCCATTGCTGCGCCGAGGTCGGCTCCAACGCGAGGTCGCCCATATGTTTGTCCAGATGGGGGGGGCGTCTGCTAGTTGGGGCCGCGGCCCCATGCTCGCCGGGACTTTGTGGTGGGGCTACTGTGGCGGATTGGTCGTATTCCGCGTTGGGTTCTTTCTGGCAGATGTCGGATATCCCGACGCTCTGGCGCCGCGGCTTGTTTTGCGTGCCACGTGGTGCAGCCGCTCCGCGCGGAGTTGAATGTTATGTTCCGTCGGTTGGGCAGCGCCTGAAGCTGGAAAGGGCGATTGCTGCAGTTGGTCGAAAGGACATGAGAGGTCAGGCATGCGGGGGGGGGGGGGGGGGGGCGGGGGGGACAGACTGGACATTTCAGTGCTAAGCAGGTGCTGCAGTATTGGAAGGTCCCCGAGGTGGAGGTGGAGATGGGGGTGCGCGGGCTTCGGCGTCGCCCCCAGCGTCGGCTTCAAGTGCTCGCGGCGCGGTTCGGTGTCTTCGACTTCGAACGCGACTTCGCCAGGGATGATTTGGGCGGGGTATTTGCGACGAGGAGAGGAGGGTTGGGGAGGGCGCCGATCCGCGGGCTACGCGGGCGGAGTAGGACATAGTGAAACTGCGTGAGGCTTTGCAGGGGGCGCCAGATGTTCGCGAGGGGGCGGGCTCCTCGATCCTTGGACTATGCGCCCCTGACTATCCCGAGGCGTTCGCCAGAGTTGACGTCGTGATTCTCGAGCCCAGGGCCCGCGGAGTTGAGGCGCCGCCTCCTGGGGCTTCGGTCGGGGGCGAGGGGGGCGAGGGGGCGGGGGCTCTGTTGGCGGAGCTCGCGCGCTGCTGCCCCCGCGTGCTTGCTGGGGGCCCTTGCTGCGCAGCGTTGCGTATTCGGCGGGGCTGGTCAGCTACGTTCGCGCGCGGGCGAGCGGCGGCGGCCCAGGCAGGTGCCATTGCTGAACCGTGCGCCTGTTGCGGGGAGGTCTTGTTTCAATCGTAATCTGGCGCGCCTTCATTTGGCTCGTGCACTGAGGCTTGGGCGTCGCCTGAAAGGTGAATGCGTCGACAATGTTCGGGGTGTGGATGCCTGCCGCATTTGATTATGCAGTTTGCAGCCCTAGCTTGGGGAGTCTGGCGAAGCGCCGCGCTCGCGCCCGTTCGCGTCTCCCTTTCGCGCGCGCCGACCCTGCGGCCGGAGCGCCGCGGCCGACCTCGGCTTCGATCTCGCGCCCCCGCGGTGGCCGGGCAACGCGCAGCTCGCCGAGCGCCGTGAGGCGAAGGGGGGAGAGGCGTCGCAGGTGGCCAAACCGTGGAAGACCAAAGGGAGGACTCGGGTTGACCCAAAAGGGGGTCCAGCGACAAGGGGGTGGTGCAGTAGATATGGTGCAATAGATCTGTGGGGTTGCAATACATTTGAGGCGTGCACTGCATTTCGGGGCGCAAATGTACGGCTGCATTTTCGCGTGCAGTACATCACTTCCAATACAATGTGATCTAATTCTCTGGCGCAGTACATTCGCAATACAATTGCCCCGAATCTATTGCACCCCCCCCTTTCAGCTGGACCCCCTCTTGGGTCGCCCAAGAGGAAGCGTCGCAGGTGGCCAAACCGCGGAAAACCGAAAGCAGGACCGACTGGGATTCGATGCGCGCGACGCGGCGACGTTCGAAACTGGCCTGCGCAGGGCGCCCTTCGCGGGCGAGAACGCTTGGCCGGCAAAGGCGGGGACGATGAACGACGACAGGGTTGAGGCGCTGAAGGATGGTGGGCTTGTTCTCCACCGCCATCACCACCACACATTGGAGGGGGGAAGGAAGAGGAGGAGGAGGAGGAGGAGGAGGACGAAGAGGAGGACGAGGAGGAGAAGGAAAAGGAGGAGGTGGAGGAGGAGGGGGTGGAGGAGGACCCCCATCCCCCTCCAACTTACGTTGGTGGTGGTGGAAAACAGGCCCATCAAAAGAGGTAGCCAAGGGAGGGGGGGCGCGGCTTGCCTCGCCGTGATGTCGGCGGCGAAGCAGAAGGCGGCGGGCCCCGCGGTCGCTGCGCTCGAAGAGTTCTGGGCGAAGTTCGCTGGGGGGCAGGCCCGGACGCAGTTGGCCAGGTTCGCGGAGCACTTCCAGATGGGCCAGCCGAAAGGTCAGACGTCCAAACGGTCGGAGGACAAGGCGAAGTTCATCTTGCGCCTCGAGGAGCACCTCGAGTCGGGGAGGGTTGCCGTGGCCATAGTGAAGCAGGTGCTAGTCGAGAGGCAGACGGAGGAGCTGATCGGCTCGGCCCCGATGGGGGCGCGACGAGCGGGGGAACTCGTCGGTGTTCTACAGAGCGAAGTTACCCGTGATGATGGACTTGAGCGGCGTTCCCTGGTGAATCCTGATCATGGTGGTGCGTTTGTTATGGCGAGTTCACCTTCGGCGCCCCAGTTTGGGGGAGGCGTTGCAGCGTCCGGGCCTGTGAATGTGCAAGAGGATGGGCCTGGGCTGTGTCCAGCTTCTTTTGGTAATCCTATGATTAGTGGTGCGTCGTGTGCCTGTCTTGGCGAGAACACAACATACTGCGACGCTCCATGTGTTGTTGTCAGATGCTGCTGGGCATGCTGATTCAGTGTCGCGGCCGTCTTCCACAACGATTTTGACCAGGCCCCCGCCCGTTGAGCGTCGTTGAGGGGCGGAAACAGAGCGACCGTTTTCGCCAGCTCAGAGACGCAGGGGCACGGTTAGGATCCAGCCTCTTGCGGATAGTGGGAATGGGAGGGGCCGTGGGAGGCGTGGTGGGAGTGGGGGGCGGTGTGATGGTCGGGCTCGTGGCCGTAGCGACCAGCCAGATAGGTGTTGATCGGTGGCGGCTACTCGTGGTTGTTACGGATGGTGGCCCTGCGTGGTTGCTACCGGTGGTGGTGGTTTGTTACAGTTTTGCCAGAGTAGCTTTGTGGGGTGGTGCCCAGAGTGGCGTCTCGAGGGACATCCCCCTCTTGAGAGGTTGCCATACGGCCCTGTGGGAGGCCGCTCCCCTCTAGCTGCGGTCTTGACAGCGTCATTCGCAGGGATATTGTCAAGCTTGTACCTGCGCAGGGGCCAAAGCAGCGTGCGTGAGCAGCGAATTTCCTTGCTTGCCGTAATTTTGGGTCCCCCCAAAGTCAACCATAACCATAACCATTCCGCGGATGTTGTCTTAGCCTTCCTCGTGCACCCAGGCTGTGCTGACGCCCAAAAAAGAGTCGTTCCTTACGTAGCGTTCCTTATTGCGAAGGCCTTTCTGCCTGTGCCGCCGAGAAGGGGGACAACGACGACGACGGCGACGACGACGACGACGACGACGACGACGACGATGGCAGCGGCGGCGGCGACGACGACGACGCTGACGTGAGTCAGAGTCCTCAGGGATGCTGTTTGGGTTCTCTTTGGAGCGCTCTCGGAGGCCTCTGTTTGGCAGTCTCTTGGGGGCCTCCTGGGGCTTCCTGGGGGCCTTTGGGGGCCTCTTGGGGCTTTCTGGGATCCTCTCGGGGCCGAGGGCTCGAAATGTCCGTTCGGTTCCCCCGTCAGGGCACCCTGTTGGGAGACTCTTGGGGCGTCGGCGGCCTCTTGAGGGTCTCGTGAAGAACTCTTGGGGGCTTCTGCGGGCTTCCGTGACCGTGCGGAGGGCCAGCGTATTTAAGTGGGGGCCTCCCCCAGGACCCCCCCCCCCCCTGGGACCCCTCCTGCGATCCCCCCCCCGGAGCCTCCCCGGAGCCCCCCCGGGAGGCTCCCGGGACCCCCCTGGGACCCCCCAGGGACCCCCGGGGGACCCCCCTTGGGGCAAGAGGAGTCGTTCTTTACGCAGCGCTCCCCATTTCAGCAGCCCTTCTGTAGCACCGGGGGGACGGGGAACCCGAGACCGCCCACCGAGGTCGTTTGGTCTGGCGGCCGCTTCACCTCGCGCTTCCTCGCCGCCTATTCGAGCATCGTGCTCTCGCCTCACTGCTGGCTACGTGTGCGGTCCAGACCGCCACGATCCCCGGCAACAGATGCACGAAGGGGCACACGGCCGTACAGTGAGCGGCTTGAATAAGGAACACTTATTTTTCAAAAGGGGCTCGGTCGTTTCTTAGGTTTGCATGCGTTCTTTACAGTTCCTTATGCGTTATTTGTTTTTGTTATCGTTCCTTATGCGTTATTCCTTGGGATAAAAAAGGGACTTCGTTCCTTATTTATCGTTCCTTAGGTCAGGCCGATGACTGTACTCTCACCCCTGTCACCCCTGTCCTGGCACTGTTTTACCGGCCGACCTCTTCTTCCCCGACCCGCCGTTTCATCCTTGCACTTGCTGGGGCAGTTGCTTCAACCTGTTCTTGTCCTTTGACTTGGGCCCTCGGGAGCCGTTCTCGGGCCCCCGGGGCCTTGAAGAATGGGCCCCAGGACGAGAAGCTACCCAGGGGGGAAGCGGTCGGGCCCTCTGCGGGGCCGCGGGTTGGACAAGACTCAAAGCCGCGCATGTCAGGGCCGCAAGTCGCCGTCGAGGCTCGGGACGAGGATCGAGCAAGGTCCAGCTTCGGCAGCTTCGAGGACGGCGTGCTTTCCAGGCGCTCCGGAGGCGCCGGGCTCGGACTGCGCGGCGGGTCGGCGCGGGTGCATGGATTGGGAGGGCGCGTCCCCACCCAGACCTCCTTCGGGTTTGTTCCCCCCACATCCACAGTAGGGTTGTCGTTTTCTCTGCACGCTCCCCGCTCGCAGGATCTCCTCCTACTCCTCGTCCCCTCTCTTTTTCTCACTCGCATCCTCATGCCTCGCTCGGTCACTCACTAACTTAGTTATCATCATCATCGGCATCATCATCGGCATCATCATCATCATCATCATCATCATCATCATCATCATCATCATCATCATCATCATCATTATCATTATCATTATCATCATCATCATCATCATCATCGTCATCATCATCATCGTGATCATCATCGTGATCATCATCTTGATCATCATCATCATCATCATCATCATCACCATCGTCATCACCATCATCATCATCATCATCATCAGTATCAGCATCATCATCACACCACCATCATAATCATACCCATCAGCAGCATCATCAGCATCATCACCACCACTATCATCATCCCATCATGATAACCGATAGATGTTCGTTATCATCATCAGCATCGTCATCTTCATCATCATAATCATCATTATCCCCAGCATCACCATCATCAACATCGCCATCATCATCACCAGCATCATCAACAACGCACGCATTCCAGTCCTGCACTCAGTCGCACACGTACTCGCGCACTCATCTTGAGGAAGTCTCGAGCGGGAGCCCCCTCCCTATGAATCTCAGCGGGGGCGCGCACGCGTGCAGAGAGAGGGCCCTCGTCGGGTTTCGGGCGAGGAAAAAACCGCGGGCTATGAACAACTAGCGACGGATGGTGTTTCACTGTCTTCGGCCTCAAGGAGCCCTGACCAGGCCTCCGCAACGTCAAATAACTGCTTATGATGAAAAACATGTCTTGGGGAACCTCATGTTTTGAATCCCAGCGAGTTGTCCTCAAACCTGTAATTGTCACTTTTGGGCTCCTCAGGCCTCCTTTTGGGCTCCTGGGCTCCTTTTTGGCTCCTCAGCCTCCTGGGCTCCTTTTGGGCTCCTCAGTCTCAAGCGGTAACCTCGTCTTTGAGTGAATTGCAAGGAAGTCTCAGGCGGGAGCCCCTCGCGCCTCATGTTTTTACTCTCAGGGGGTCATTCTCAAACCTGCAACAGTCATCATTTCTGGGCTCCCAAAGCCTGAATATGGAGGAAGTCTCAGGCGGGACCCTCGTCTGTGAGTGAATTGCGAGGAAGTCTCAGGCGGGAGCCCCCTCCCTATGGGGTCATCCTCAAATGTGTACCTGTCGCCACTTTGGGGTTCCTCAGGCTTGAGCGTGTAGGAGGTCTCCGGCGGGAGCCTCGTCTGCGAGTGAATGGCGAGGAAGTCTCAGGCGGGAGCCCCCCCCCCTACGGGTTCCCCGCCTCCCTGTTCGAATCCTAGCGGGCCACCTGATTCCTGGAACGGAATATGGAGGAGGTCTCCGGCGGGAGCCTCGTCTGCGAGTGAATGGCGAGGAAGTCTCAGGCGGGAGCCCCCCCCCCCTGCGGGTTCCCCGCCGGGCCCGAAGAAGTGTCGAGCGGGGGCCTCGTCTGCGAGTGGATCGCGAGGAAGCCTCGAGCGGGAGCCCCGCCCCGTGCGGTCCCCACCTCCGTGTCTGGCAAGAGGGCTTCGAGCTCCAGGGCCGGGGCGGAGCTCGCGGCGAAAGCTCGGCCTCGCGCTGCCTCCCGCCTGAGCGCGGCGGCGCCCAGCTCGAGGCCCCTGGGGTTGTCCCGACGGCGCGCTCCCGCGCCCCAGCGGCCCACGGAGTTGTCCCAACGGCTTGGCCCGTGGGGTTGACCCAACGGCTTCGCGGTCCGGCCATGGGAGAACGCGGAGAGGGCGCCGAGCAAAGTCGGCGTGCGTGTCCCGGCCAGAAGAAAGGAGAGGTGCATGAGCAAAGCAGGCGGGATGGAGAGGAAGGAGGAGGAGGAGGACGAGGAGGAGGACGTCTAGGAGGACGAGGAGGAGGAGGAGGAGGAATAAAAGGACGAGGAGGAGGAAGAGGTCGATAACGAGGCAGGAGGAGAAGGAGGAGGCATGAGGACGAGGCAGAAGGAAAAGAGAAGGCAGGAGGGGGTAGGAGGAGGGAGCAGGAGGATATCCCCAGCCAAGCTGAAAAGACTCACGCGGGGCACTACCGTCGGAGTATTTCTGAATCCCAGCGATTTTCATCGCTCTCGTGCTCTGTGGGCTAAGCTGCTCGAGTTATGGCAGAATGTTTGAAGACGGGCACGCAGACCGCACGCGGCGCTGACTCGTTTTTCCCCGTCGTGTGTACACATTTATGTCCGATTGTACATATGTGTATAGTTGTGGGTATATTTGTATGTATGCATGCATGTATGCATGCATGTATGTATGTATGTTGGTATGTATACATGCACGTACGTAGGTATGTGTGTATGCATGCATGTATGCATGTATGTGGGTCATGCATGCATGCATATATATATATATATATATATACGTATATATATATATATGTATATATATGTACGTATGTGTGTCGATGTGTATGTATGTATGTATGTATATATGTATGTATGTACGTACGTACGTATGTATGTAGATGCATGTATGTATGAATATGTGCATGTATGTATGTATGTATGGGATGTAACGTAACGTAACGTACTGTAATGTAATGTAATGTAGTGTAATGTAATTAAATGGAATGGAATGGAATGGAATGTAATGGAATGGAATGGAAATGTAATGTAATGCAATGTAATGTAACGTAATGCATTGTAATGTAATGTAATGTAATGTATTGTAATGTAATCTAATGTATTGTAATGTAATGTAATGTAATGTAATGTAATGCACTGTATGCATGTATGTATGTATGCATGTAGGTAGGTAGGTCGGTAGGTCGGTCTGTAGGTAGGTAGGTAGGTAGGTACGTAGGTATGTGTGTATGTATGTATCAAGGGCTCCCCCGAGGGCGCGAAGTTATTCGCGCTTCGCGGTCCTCGTTCCTCCTCCCCCTCCTCCTCGTCCTCCTTTTCTCCCCTTGGGGGGGCGGCGCGAGGGCGCGAAGTTATTCGCGCTTCGCGGAGCGCGAAGCGCGAAGTTGGGAGCCCTAGATGTATGTGGCCCCCGCTCACCAATCATATTCTTGGCATTTTTGGAGGTTATTCGATGCATTTTCACGAGTGCGCGTGTCCAGATCCGGTGCAATCTGAAACTGCCCTTGAAGCCCTCGAATTCGCCCTGAGACGGCCCAGGAAACTTCAAAACGGCCCAAGAACTGCCCCAGAGGGCCCCCAAACCTCCCACGAAGCCGCCAACCAGCCCCTGTGACCTGCCCAGCACGATCCAGGGAGCCCCTCCTTGCCAAAATAGCGACCCAAGACGCCCAAGACAGCCTCCAGACAACCCAAGATGCCTCCAAGGCGCCCCAAGAAGCCGACGAAAGTCTGCCCAGGAGGGTCTTTAGGGCCAAATCTCATGCATTTCGCGAGGGTGTTTGCAGGATTCTCACGTGTGCGAGTGTCCAGCTCTAGTGTAATCCGGAACGGCTGCTGATGCTCTCCACTTCGCTCTGAGACGGCCCAGGAGGCCTCTAACACGCCCCGAAAACAGCCCCAAATGGCCTCAACAGGGCGCCCGAAACCGCCAACCAGCTCTCTCGAATGCCAAACACGATCTAGGGATACCACCCCTCGCCAAAATGGCGGCTCCAGACGCCTAAGACAGCCTCCAGGCACCTAATATGCTTCTAAGACGCCCCAACAGGTCGCCGACAACATGCCCGAGGAGTTCCGAGAGTCGAACCCCATGTATTTTACGACGGTTTCTGAACGATTTTTGACGGGTCTCAAACGGCCTCGAGCTCGCTCTCGCTAGGCGGAAACCGGCCCCAGGGGCTTCTAAGACGACCCACGAAGCCGCCGTGAAACCCCTCAAGACTTGTCAAAAAAACTGTCCAAAGAGCCTCCCCCTCACCCGCCCCAGAAGCCCCTTGCGACCTTCCCAAGAGCGCCTCAAGACGGCCGAACCGGGCCCCGAAACAACCCAAGAGGACCCCTATGATTGCCCAAGAGGGCCCCGCGGGGCACCCAAGAAAGCTCCCACGGGGCCCCAAGACACCCCCATGAAACCCACACGGCGAACATGAAGGCGATGAACATGATTATGATTAGCTGATGATGTAGATGATGACGATGATGATGATGATGATGATGATGATGATGATGAGGAGGAGGAGGAGGAGGAGGAGGAGGAGGAGGAGGAGGAGGGAGGAGGAGGAGGAGGATGATTATGAGGATGATGAGGATGATGATGACCATGATGATGGTGATGATGATGATGATGGTGATGATGATGATGCTGATGATGAGGACGACGATGACGATGACGATGATGACGATGATGATGATGATGATGATGATGATGATGATGATGATGATGATTCTGCTGATGATTATGATGGATGATGCTGCTGCTGATGGTGATGATGCTGCTGCTGCTGATGTTGTTGATGATGATGATGATGATGATGATGATGATGACGATGTTGCTGGTGCTTCTCATGCCTCATGAGGTCCTCGCCTTTTGGGATCGCATACAGTCGCGGTGCTGATGACGATGGCGATGACGATGGCGATAGTGATGACTATGTTCATGATGGTGATGACGATAATGGTGGTGATGGTGATGCCGACGGGGATGTCCGCCATCCCCAAGATTTTCACATGCTCCAGAAACGCTTTTTCTGCCCCGCGTCCCTCACTCCTCCTCGTTCCCCTCCTCCCTCCTCCCTCCTCCCCTCACCCCCCCCATCACTTTGGCACACCCCTCACACGTTTCGTGGCCCCATATGGAGCTCCACCGAAGGCCCGAGTGCCACCGCTGGCATGCGTCACGCACACCCATTTCGGCGCACCCCTCACACGTTCCGTGGCCCCGCAGGGTGCTCCACCGAAGGCCCCAGTGCCACCGCCCGCATGCGTCACGCACATCT